AATTTTAAATTATTAAAAAACTATAATAAAGCTAAAGGTTATAATTTAAAGACTAGATAAGTAAACTAGGCAAGAGGTTAAAAAATACTATAATTAAGTTATGCTATTATTAAATATAATTAAAAATTTCTTATATATTATGCAAGTATTATAATAAATATAGGCTATATAATAAACTAGTTTCCTAGGTTTAGGCCTAACCCGCCCTAAAATTTTAAATATTACTTTATTTTTAAATATATATTTTAACTAATTTAAAGGTAGTGCTAGCCAGTAGTACTTAGGGAACTAAACTATAATTTATAATACTTATTTAGTTTTTTTTATTTTAATTAAATATTAAAGTTTTAATATACTAGCAAAATTTAAAGCACCTAGATTATTATAAATAAAAAATATTTATAATATAATTAAATTATTATTTTTATATAAGCTAATTAAGCCCAAAGCTTTATAATTAAATTAAAAAAAATATAACTTTATAATATTTATATTATTAGTATTATTTTACCTTTATAAAGATAAATATTAAAAGTAGATACTATTAGGGCTGGCTATTTAAGATAGTGGTTAAAAAGGTTTAATATTTATTATTATATAATTTTAAGGTAATATTTATAAGTAATACTGCTAAGCTATTAAAAGCTTTTAAATACTTTTATAATATAAAGCTTAATAAAATATATAGTTATAACTTTAACCTAGAGTTATATAATATTAATATATAAAATATTTTTAAAATTTTTGCAAACTAGCTAGGCTATATAAAAAAAAGAATAGTTTAGTATTTAATAATATATTTTAATTAGCTTTTTTATTTTTTACTTTTATTTTACCGCACTATAATTATTGCAGTGGTGCTTTTTTTTTTTACGCGCTTTATTTCCCGGTTTTTTTTTTTAGTTTATTAAGCAACATGGAGTTTGTTAACTAAGCCTGTAAAGCATGGGTTGCTATACTACGCACTATATAATTATATTATGCTTTTTTTTGTGTTCTTCACGCTTTTCTGCTTTATTTTTTTTTTATAATTTATTAAGCTCCGTTCTAATATATGGCTGCTTTATAGTATTTTTTTTATTATATAATTAAGTCCTAATTTTTTATTTTATAGTATCTTTCTTGTTGCATAATTAAGTCCTAATTTTTGGTTTAATTATTTTACCTATTAAGCTTAGCTTTATATTATATCTAAGCTTTTTTTAAAGGGGGAATATATAGTAATATTTAAAGCCATATTTTAATACACAGGGTTTTACTATGCGTTACTATTTTTATAGCTACTTTACCTGCTCTACAGGACTTAGTAAAATCCAAGACTCTTTAGATACGCATAGCGCTCATATCAGCTGCCACACTTTGCCAAGCTTTATTATTATTAGTAGAGAACATCTAGGTGCTAGGGCGCCCTTACAGTTTACTTTATACTTTTTATTTTAAAATAATATAGCTAAGTGCTTTAAAGGCATTTTAATTTAAAAAGCTAAAATAATAACTTTATATAAAAATATTTTGCTTAATATATAGCCCTAGGTTATAAAAGTAATAGTTTATATTAATAATTAAATTTTTATTAAAATTATTAATTAAATAACTTTATAAAAAAACTTATTAGTAAAAAGCCTTATATTTTAAGTATTTAAATTATTAAGTATTTCTCCTGGGTAAAAAAAATCCTGGGAAAAAGGCCTTTATAAAATAAAGTTAAGGGCTTTATTTAAATATTTTATAAGCTATTAAGCCTTAAATATATAATAAATTTAGGGTTTTTAAAATTAGCGTGTTAAAGCTTGTAAAAATATTATTTTTAATAAATCCTAGTTTTATAATTTATAAGAACTATTTTTTATTATTAATATTTAAATTAATTTTTTTAAATTACTAGTTAAGGTTTTTAAACCGCCCTCTTGCCGCTATATTACTAAAAATATAAACTTAAATTTAAACTTTACTAAATTCTTTTAAAAAAAATAAAGGTATTTTAACAACAAGTAAGCCAAGAGTAGTAAAAATATTTAAAAATAAAAATATTAAAAAAAATAAAAATAAAAAAAAATTTAAATATAAAATTATACCTAGGCCTAATTTTAGTAAAAATAAAACCTTTAATTTATTAAAAAGGTTTTTACCTTTTTTTACTTTAAACCCCACTTTAAAACCTTAATATTATAAAATTTTTATATAAAAATTAATATTAGCTAGTTTCTTTAATAAGTTATTATAGCCTTTATAATAGGTTACATGCTTTTAAATTTAAAAAAATTTATTTTTAAACCTAGCTAATTAATAATTATTATAAAAAATAAAGCAAGCCCGCTCCTAAACTTTTATTTATTTATTATTAAAAATATAAGGGAAGGTAAAAAACTAAGAATTAAACTTATTATTTTTTTTAAATAATTAACTAAATAAAGGCTAGCACCTTAAAATAATTAAAAAAACTTTAAATTTTATTTAGGTACTTTAATAAGCTACACAAGCTATATTATTATTATAATTACTTTTAATTTTACTTTTTATAATTATATATAATTTGCCTTTTTTACTTTTTATTAAAACCCTAAAAAATATTTTTATTAAAATAAATTACTGCCTTTTCCCAAGCACTAAAAAAATTTTAAAAACTATTTATTAAAAAATATATTTTTTAAAGCTATTAATTTTAAATTAAATAAACTTAAAAAAATAAAAGCATAAAAGGTAGTTAGGTAATAAAAAGCAGGTTTAAATAAGTTAATTTCCTTATTATAGGTATTTATATATAAGTTTAATATAAATAACTACTTTTTTAAGCCTAAAGCTTAAATTTATATATATAAAAATTTTAAATTAATTAATTATAAAAATAATTAAGTAACTATAGCCTTTACCTATTTTTTTAAGTTATTATAATATTTATTACCTTTTTTAATATAAATATAAAATAATATAATATTATTAATATTTTTTTTAATATAAAACTTAATAAACTTATATACCTTTAATTTTTAAATAGCTGTAAGTAAAAAAAAAAGCTTTTAAAAATTTTTAAAATTATTTATAGCCTTAGAAAGTCTCCCTGTCTTTAATAACTTAATTTAATTATTATTTTATATAAATTTAGCTTTACTATAGTGCCTAAAAAAATACCTTTTTATTAATAAGGTAATAATTTTTTTAATATATATAAATAATCTTATTTTTATAAACCTTTTTACTAAGCAAGGCTATTTTATAATAGCTATTTTTAAAAAAAAAAATTTTTAGTAAAGTACAAGCTTTAGTATTTTAGTAAAGTTAAATAGTTTTTAAAAGTTTAAATTTTTTAAAATAGGCCTTAATATAAGCTTTAGCTTTTTTAAAATTTTTATATTAAAGTTATTATAAATTAATTTTACTTAAATATTATAATTTAATTACTTTTTATTTTACTTTTATTACCTAGCAAGCTTTATTTAAACTTTAATATAATTATTTTTAAAAATATTAAAAAAATAAGGTTAAAAATTAAATTTATTAAATATATTAGTACCCTTATTTATTTAAATATTTTTTATATAATAAGCTGCTTATTAAAATATTTTATTAATTTTATAAATTATTATTAATATATAATAAATTAACTTATTTCCTATTTTTATAATACACGCTTTTTTGCTTTTAAATACTCTAGTTTAAATAATTTTAAAAATAAGGTTTTTATTAAAAAATATAAGATTTATAAGTTATATTTTAATATAATATTTATAAATTATTTTAATTAATTTTCTAGCGCAGGCTATATTTATAAGTTATATAAAAATTTAATTAAATAAAAGGCTATAAAGTAGTATTTAATTATTATTTTTATTATTAAAATAAAATTACTTACTTTTATTAAGGCTTTTAAAGTAACTTACTAATAATAAAAAGTTTTTAAAGCCATGTAATTTAATTTTTAATATTAACTTTTAATTTAATATAATAATAAAAAAATAATTAATATTTTTATTAATATTAATATATAACTTTACTTAAAATTTTATTATATTAATATTTATAATTTATAACTTAGGTAAAAAGTTTAGTATAAAAATTTTTATATTAAATAAACCCTTATTAATTAAATAATTATAAATAGCCTTATAAAGGCGCTTACTAAATAATAATATTAAAAATTTATTAAAATACTTAATTTAATAAATATTTTTAGCCTTATTTTTAATTAATTTAAAAGTAAATAGGTATTAAAAGGGCATGTTAATTAATAATAAAAATTACGTAATTTAATAAAAAAGTATTATAATACTTTAATAATACTTAAATATTTTAAATAATTTTAATTAAAATATTATAATACTTATTACTAAATTACTTGCCTGTATAACTATAATATTTATAATTTTTTAAATATTATAAAGTATTAGTAAAAGTATTTAAAATTCTTATTATTTTTAAAAGCTTAAATTATTTATATAAACCCTAGTTAGCTCTAGCTTTTAAATATTATTATATTTTTTATTTAATTTTCTAGTATTTATTTAATTAATAGCTTTCCTTTGCACGGTATTTAAAGGGCCTTATATTGTGACGTTCTTTTTTCTTTCTCCTGTCGTCCCTTTTTCTTTCTACTGTCGTCATTCCTTGTTGTTCTGACGTCCTTTTTTCTTTCTCCTGTCATCGTTTCTTTGTTGTCCTGTGGCCGTCCTTCCCTTTCCGCGTTGCGCATTCTTTCTTCTCTCTTCTTTGAATATTTTACTTCGTTCTTTTCGGTTTGCGCCAATTCTAGCGTCGTTGTCAACCTCGTTGCGATGTATATACAACAGATCGAACGGCCAGAAAGTGGACTCAGCGGTTTACTTTCAAACCGTCTCATGTCGACACGCAAAAGTCAAAGAGATCTCGAAGACCTTTTGTTCGAGGCACGTCGAGGATGGCCAGCGCTCGGATGAATATAAAAAGATTGTTCGCATCCCTCGAAAGATTCCCTATCCCCATCACTTAAACGCAGTAACAATTTCCGCTACGAGCACGGAACAAAAATGTACGGCCTCAATCATTTTGCGACAAAGGGCGCAGCGGCCCACGCTGCTAGAATTTTCCATGGAGCCGGGGTTCCCAGCGTGCTTGTCGGCTGGTCCGCGATCGCCTTGGTTGGAGGTGATTTTCTGAACAATGTAAGATGGCTCTCTTCGGTACTTTGATGATACTTGGCTAACTCCAGATTGCACTAGGACGTTGATTTCGTGGTGCGAGACAGTCAGATAAGAGCTGCTGCTAACGCTATGGTTCGTGCAGGGTTCTCACCGTGCGCGGATGCCGCCTGTTTAGCTGGCAAGGAAGACCGGGCTTCCGAAATCGACACGCTCTCCGACGACGACTACTACAAAGAAGAAGCCGAATTGTTCTTTTGCAAGGATCGCTACCACCCTGTTCCGGCCGTCCATTTCCACATGCCTCACATGATCATCCTCTCGCTGCACCGCAAGTCCCGTCTGCTGTGGTGGATTCCAGACGACCATTTCCGCCTGGAGCCCCCAGCACATGATGACCCCTACTTCGTGCTGTCCACCGACGCTGCCCGAGTCCCGGCTCGCGATCTCCTGGCCTGGCCCGGGCCCGAGGAGTTCAGCCACTACCTGCCAACGGCCAACAGTAGTGGAAGCTCCGGTCCATGGAGGGGCCTCTACCCCGTCAAAGTGTTGCTGGCGACGGCTCACCTCAAGATGGCCTTGCTCTGTCTCTGCCGTGATCTCCATGGTACAAGAGGGCTGGATTGGCTCTGGTTCTGCATGCTCTACGAGCTGGCCGAACGCCAGATGCCGGGCCAGGATAGGGCCAGCGCCAGGCACCTTCTGGAAGAGCCGCAGCTGCAGGCTTTCTGGGACCGGTTCCGCGGGCATGTTGACGTGGCAACCGATTATAATATCCTCGAGCCATTGTTGGAATACCGTGCCGGATTGATTTCGGGGAACAAGCTGCCAGATCTCCCGGAGGGAAGTGCGCCGGTAACAGTTGTCTTTGTTGTCAACAAGCAGCCCGTGACCGATGAGAGCGCCTTCCAGATCATGGACAAGGATGCGAATGCCTTTCCGTGGGTCTTTCTTAAGCGCAATGGGTAAGTAAGTTATTCATCGAATGTTTTTGGCATTGTTGTTTGTGTCTTGATTTTGTTTCCATTGCTCCGGCACATGCCCCTCATTTTCATAGTTCAATATATCATCTCCCCCGAGTCCTTTGTACCCATCGCGCAATACACGCCTGTAAGACATGTCTGGCTCCTGGGCGGTAGTAGATACAGCATTGCTCACCTGCAGGGCTCAAAGTTGCCCTCACGCCCCTCAAGCGGGCCTGTCCTTCTCTCCCTTCCCCTCCACGCTGGCCTCATCCCCCTCCATGACAACCGCAGCCTCCTCAAGCGAACGCCCTTGGTCTCCGGGTAAACGGCCCCAATGACAAACGTCTCAGCAGCAGGAAGAACAAGGATTCGCAACCTGATTCCATGAACCCCGTCCCGCCCTTGTTGCTCAGCTGCATGATCGCGTTTCCCTTGCTACTCCTGTAACCTGCTTGCTTTGTAATTCTATGATCTTGCCTAACGATGGTTTGATATCTTGGTTCTCATACATCCAGTTCATGAGACCGGCCCCTAGTCAGGTTACTGTTGCTTGGTCCCATGCCCTCGGAGTCGCAGCCGAATCCACCCCGAGCGATGGGCGCGGCTAAACGCTCCCCCGCCCGAGGTATAAGACGGTGACCCCGCACATCTCCCCAATCTACCACCACCATGACTCTCCCCAAACTCGCCATCCTCGACGACTACCAAGGCATCGCAGCCGCACATTTCACCCACCTCCAACACCAACTCTCGATATCTCACTTCCCCAACACCCTCGACCCCCGCGATGCCACCCAACAAACCCAACTCATCGCGCGCCTCCACGACTTCGACATCCTCCTCGCCATGCGCGAGCGAACCCCCCTCTCAAAAAGCACTCTCAGCCACCTCCCAAACCTGAAACTCGTCCTTACAACAGGAACGCGCAACCGCGCGATCGACACGGCCTACCTAGCTGAACGCGGGATCCCAGTCGCTGGGACGGAGACGCGGGGACCGGGCGTGCATTCAACGGTCCAGCATACGTGGGCTCTTATTCTCTCCGTAGCACGCCATATCTCTCGCGATGACGCAAGGCTCAGAAGTGAGGAGGGGTACTGGCAGGGATCTTTGGGGATGAATCTCTCGCGGAGGACGCTTGGACTGGTGGGGCTGGGGAAGCTTGGTGCGCAGGTTGGGAAAATTGCAGCGGTCGCATTTGAAATGGATGTTATTGCGTGGAGTGCGAATCTGACGCAGGAGAAGGCGGATGAGGTCGCTGTTGGGATGGGGTTGGAGAGGGGTGTTTTTCGCGTGGTTGATAAGGAGACGTTCTTTAAGAGCGCGGACGTCGTCAGTTTGCATTATGTGCTGTCCGAGCGGAGTCGCGGTGTTGTTGGGAGGCAGGAGTTGGAGTGGATGAAGGACACCGCGCTGCTGGTCAATACGAGTCGCGGGCCGTTGATTGATGAGGGCGCTTTACTGGAGTGTGTTGAGAGGGGCGGGATTGCGGGCGTGGCGCTTGATGTCTTTGAGACGGAGCCCCTGCCCAGCGACAGTGTTTGGCGGAGTGGGAAGTGGGGGAAAGACGGGCGGAGCGAGGTGCTTCTGACGCCGCATATGGGGTACGGCGATGAGCAGATCCATGGGTGGTACGAGGAGGTTGCGAGGAATTTGGAGAGGTGGTTGCGTGGGGAGGAGCTGAAGACTCTGCTTACCTAGGTGTGTGTAATTGTAATAGAGAAGCCTCGGCAGATATTCAGGCACAAGCCAGTGATAGACGTACCTCGGATGGACGGAGAGACCCAAGGATTTCCACCGGAGCAGGCTTTCTAGCTGCATCTGCTGTGTCCGGAAGGCGCAAATAAGGTGCGGGAGCAGAATGCAGGTGGCAGGCCCACCCAGACATCCCTCGGCCCAACGTCATCGTATAAACAACTCGACCCTCGACCCCTCTGCCCCTCTATCCCTCATCCATTCCTCAAGTTTCAACATTGTCCCTTCACTTCGATCATCCACCGCAATCCCATCGTCACAAACAACCAAAATGCCCGTCGCCATCCAAGACCAACCCCCCACCCCGCCAACAGCGAAACCAGCCTCCACGCACCCACCAACCCACCCCGGCCTAATCCACGTCCACCGCAGCGACCAAGCCTTCGGGTCCTTCGCAATCAGCTCCGTCTCCCTGCCCGCAGGCACGCTCTTCACAAAAATCACCGGCGCCACACCCTCAGAAAAAGCCTACACAAGTGTCCAAGTCTCAGCGGACTCGCACATCGAGCTGAACTCCGACCTGGTCTACTGCAACCACTCGTGCGACCCGAGCGTGGTCTTCGACATGGAGAAGATGGAGGTGCGTGTTGTGGACGAGCGCCCGCTGAGCAAGGGCGACCCGCTCACGTTCTTCTATCCGAGTTCCGAGTGGGAGATGGATCAGGCGTTTGACTGTACTTGTGGCTCGGGGAAGTGCAAGGGGGTTATTCGGGGGGCGAAGGGGATGGGGTGGGAGGGGTTGAAGGGGTATTGGGTGAATGGGTTTATTGGGGAGTTGGTGAGGGAGGAGGAGAGAGAAAAGAATGGGCAGTAGGAGGTCTGTTTGCGGGACATGTGGTGGGCGATGGGCGTTGCGATGCATAGGGCGATAGAGGGATGGCGTACGAGTAGACGGTGGGCATGGATAAGATTCGATCAATGCAGAACGTGATAGCAAGGGCTATTGACACCAGACCTTTAGCCATCTACGTCCGTAGTCAACTTCCTAACAAACCTTGACGAGGCGAACGGTTCCATCTTGACGGCTATATGACCATCCTTTAGAACCGCGATTATACCAACGGACCAAGAGATATAACAGGGGACTCCTCCCCGTCCGGCACGGCCACCCCGTCGAGCTCGGGATTATCGTTAACATCGACGGCATAAAGGAGCGGAGTTCCGCCAGCGTAATCTGTGGCTTCCAAGTCCGCGCCGGCATCTAGTAAAATCCTTGCCTCTAGATCGGCCCCAGCTGCAATCAGTAGCCGGACCATGGACTCTTTGGCGTCCATTGCAGCGTGGTGAAGTGGTCTGAACCCTTTGTAGTCTTTGCATTCGGAGATTCAGCCTTGTTGCTTCGCAGAGGGGCGTCTTGCAGCGGCACCGGATTCAGCGAGCAGCCGAGGAAGGTCCAAAGGTCCCAATTTTGATGCGACGAACCCATAGGGGTATGCCTTCCCTGTGACCATGATCCGAGAGCTTTTCCCAAAAGTGAAAGTGTCTATGGTTAATAGTATTTTAGCGGCTTCTTGATGTCCCATTTTTACAATCGCAAGGACATATTCAATCACGTTATCCTTCAATATCCACTCTATGCTGGGAAAGCCTGTTAGGAAAGCCTCCTGCGGTTTTCCAAGCTCGCGCGCCTCGTTCGCATGATACAAAATATGCTCAACGGCGTACTTGAGGAATGGGCATTTCTGAAGCATCGATGCCATCAAAAGCTTGGCTTCCTGCGTGTCTGCCTTCGGAATATCTTTAGTATGCGCAAAACGGGATGATAGGTCCTTGAGCACATAGTTCAAACAGCAAGTCTTCAAAGCGTCGTGGCTGGGCCCAGGGGAAATGGATTCGAGCCCTACCTCAAGAAGACCAGGCCCACGGAGAAAATCGCGAACTGACTCGTGAATGAAGTGTACCTCGAACCCTTGCTCCGAGCTAGTCACCTCTGCAAGTCAAGAACCAACTTAGCATGATGTCCTCGGTAACGCTTTGCGCTGTCCAATCGGCCAAGAAATCAGGGTCGGGTTCAGTGCCGGCGAGGATGGCAAAGTAGAGCTCTGCCGGCCCCAAGGGGCAATTCGCGTGAAGGATCCCCTGCAAGCAAGCAGGGTAGCGTTATTGTCATGATTATTCCTAGTCAAGAGGTGCGTCCTTGATGACTTTGTTTCCTGGAGCAGAAAAGTATACCGATATCCCCACGCTGGACCCGTCGGACCACCACGTCTTTGATGCAACTGTCGCAATTGTCTCCGCGGACGTGGTCATACGAAGAGTGGTAGAGAACATCCTCCGCTGTCGGTAATTCTCCGGCTATCCGCAACCGAATGTTCCTCCTTCCGAAATCCAGGGCGGCGGTCGTCACCGGCCCCATCCCAGTCACGTATATTCTCAAGGCAGAAGTTATCCAGGACGGGGAACTCGCGCTCGCAGAAGAAGTCGAATAGAGAGTGAATTCCATCTGCGCCTAAGGCAAGTTCACTCAGCTTGATGGAAGGCAGAGTAGAGCGATGACGTGCGATTGCCATATGGAGACCATGGTCAGATCTAGCAAGGCCGCTGAAACCCGCCAGGAAGCGTCTTGCCACAATCATACTGCACCACGTCCCCATATTCTCCATCGGGATGTCCCACAACTACATCTCCAAGCCGGATATCCGTCTTCTCACTCGGAACCCCGCCCGCAATCCCGACAGGAAGAGCACGCTTGAGCGATGGGAATGCAGCGCGTAATTGCTCTGTCATGGCGGCGTAATAATAGTGTTATGGTTATGGATACAGCCGATTGCGAACTTGGTTTTGTCGTAAAGCTTGTCAAGAATAGACTTTGCGGCGGCGTTTCATTGTCGGAAACTTGCTCCATTGGGAGGCATGATGTACTCGATGATTTTTGGAATAGTTGGAGGAGATGAGGATGAAGGTGGGAGGGAAGAGAAAGATATATATATATATAATATATATATATATATATAGTGGGGAGTCAGTCTCGTCAGGCACAGCCCGTCCCTTCTCATCCAACTACGGTACAGGAATAGAATCCAACTGCGTATCAACAAAGGCAATGTATTACCTTGGCATACTGGGTCGTAACATGAGACTAATCGAACTAGTACCTAGTATATCAACAACCGTCATCCTTCTTCCCATGGCTCCCGATAATCACTCTACCCCTTGTCTCAACGACTCCTCCCTCAGCGGCTCAGTAGAAGACCGGGTGCGGCTCCCCAAACTTTGCGAATCTGTCAGCACAAGCCCAGCACAAGGAGACAAATTCGGGATACCAACCTTCATAGGATCATTGAAGCGCAAGTTCCGGTTCAATCCACTAATCGCCCTGATATCACCTCCATCCAACTCAAAGTCCGTCGACGCAAGGTTCTGAACCAGCCGCTCAGCATTCCCACTCTTCGGAATGACAGCGACACCCCGCTGCGTCGCCCAGCGCAGCAGCACCTGCGCCGGCGTCCGCCCATACTTCCTCGCGATCTCCACAACCACCGCATGGTCCAGCAGAACCGGCGCACTCTTCGCATCCTCCGCGTCAAGCTCGATATACGAGCTCGGCCCGAACGACGAATACGCCGTCACCGCAATCCCCTGCCCCTGCGCATACTGCACCAGCACCTCCTGCGTCAGGTACGGATGGTGCTCGATCTGCAGGGTCGCGGGCTTCACGCGCGCGTACCGTAGCAAGTCCAGCAAGAGGCCGCCGTTGAAGTTGCTGATCCCGATCGCTTTGGCCAGGCCCGCGTCAACGAGCTTCTCCATCGCCTGCCAGGTTTCCTGCACGGAGGCGGTGCCCGCTGGGAATTCGGGCCCGTCGGGGGGAGGGTATTGCTCGGCCGGGTCGATGTACTCGAGCGAGACGGGGAAGTGCATGAGGAAGAGGTCGAAGTAGTCGATCTTCCAGTCGGTGAGCTGGCGCTTCGTGATCGGGGCCACCTTGTCCGCGTCGTGGAAGTTGTTCCAGAGCTTGGAGACGATGAAGAGGTCTTCGCGCTTGACGAGGCCGTCCTTGATTGCGCGGGCGACGCCCTCGCCGCATTCGGCTTCGTTCTCGTAAACTGCATAGGTCAGCGACGGCGATCTACTTGTGTTTGCGCGTGGCTAGCACTTACTGCAGGCGCCGTCCAGGAGACGATAGCCCGCCTTGATGGCGTTGTAGACCTGATCGGCGCAGGTATCGCGGCTGACCTTCCACAGCCCGAAGCCCACGATGGGCATCTGGGCGCCGGTGTTGAGGGTGATGCTGGGGACGGCCATGGCGAACTGGTATTCAGTTATTGCGGTTGATCTTGATAGTTGGTCAAGTGAGAAGCTATGCTGTGCTGGGATGGATGTTGGCATGAGCCCAGAGCACGGATTTATAGCATCTAGCCGACATCAAGGTTCTCAGTCGCCATCTCGAAACAATCCAGCACAGCATCCATTTTTTCGATAGAGGGTCTCGTGCTCCCAGCTCAGAGCGTGATGCCTCTCGCGAGACGCACGAAGCGCGCGAGGCCGCAGTTGGAGTCCAGTGCTGGATGCCTTACGTGGGGGTATCAGACTGAGATCTAATGCCATGGAAAGTACCCTATGTAGGACGCGCACCTGGGCTTATCAGCGACCAAAGTACGAACCCTCGGATCGCGCGTCCCGCGCGCCTCGCTGGAGTTAACCACTCAGGGCTTGGAGTTGGAGACGCCACGAACTGGTTACCGTATTGGAGCTTTCTTATCTTTGCGCTTAGGGCTCATCACAATATCGTGCCTTGGTTGCGTCAATCTCCAAACCCATTGCGCAACCCGTACCCTAGGGCCCTGGTGGTGGATTCTTCTGGTGTTAAGGGACGGGGTTGCTCGCAATGCCTATCGTAGGGATGAATTGAATTTGGAATCGGTCTGTAGTAGGTATACCCGACTGCAACCGAAGACCCTTGTGGCTATACCCTTTTCCTCTACAGCTAGATACCCTAAGGCACCATACATCAGAGGCGGTCCGTCATGGATGCCCCGGTCTAGGTATACACGAAACAGCATTGCCCTAAAAGCATTACAGCCTGTCCACGGCCGTCAGCGGCCGGCAAAGCAATACCAGAGAAACGACGTGTACAGATTAAAGACTCCCTCGTACCCTAACTATGCAGTGCAGAGTGCAACAAAACAAAACAAAGCCAACCTAAAACCCAGCCGGACACACCCTCCCCCCAACCCTAACCCGCTCCCTCTCTCCCTCCCCATCCCCATCCTCCTCCCTGTCTACCCCAATACACGGATCCTCCTTCCCCAGCACCCTGCGACAAAACCCCTCAAACACCTCCTCCCATAAATGCCGACACTTATACTCGGCAATATCCTGCGGAAAATGCCTTACATGGTCCCAAAGCGCCTCGAGCGCGTCCGGCTCGCCCGCCAGATCCGTCAGCGGCGTAACGTACGTGCGCACGGTGAATACCACCGCCTGCGAGCGAGGCAGCTTGCAAAGAGACTGCAGCTCCGTGCGGATGTGCACCTGCTCGGGCGCGGTGCATGGCGCCGCTTTGTCGAAGGGCACGATGTGGAAGAGGCCTGGGAGGGGCTGGATGAAGAGGTTGTTGCGTTGGATGGGTTTTGTGGGTTTGAGGGCTAGGAAGAATCTATCGGTGGTACGAGTATTCGGTTAGGATAGGATGTTGGGTTTGAGGACCTGGAAGGGTGTGCTGAGGCTTACCGCTCCATCGACCTCTGCAGCTTCTCCTTCCACAGCGGGATGGGGTCGTGGATTTGGTGCAGCGGCCACCCGATGCGTTGTTGCAGGCGCCAGCCCGATGGGCACGCGAGGAAGGCGCCGCGGCTGGAGGGAGGGTCTGTTAGATGGTACTCGCAGCTTGCTTATGGTTGTTGAATGAGTGGGCAGGACATACAGATAATATAAATCCCTCACCCCCCTCTTCAGAACATACACGTCGTCATGCACAAGCAACCCCGTCACAGCGAGCGGATGAGCATCAAACGGCTCCGTAATCCTATACTTCTCCTTAAGATGGTCAATGTAGATATACTCCCCATCAGCACGAAACATATCCGGGAAGCGCGTGGTGACATATTGCACAACCGTCTCCAACAGTTCGAGGACTGCATCGTCGACGCCATCCAGGTAGTCGACGTACAGCTCTGGATGTGGCCCGCGCACCATGGCAAGCTTGTCCGCGTGCTCGGCGTCAAAGAGGCGGTCGTAGTTGAGCCAGTTGTTGATGTCCAGCTTGCGCAGGGCCATGGTCATTTGGAATTTTCCCGGTTTCCAGTATCGCGGCCAGTTCGGGGGCGTGGTGAGTGGTGGGAGGCCCGTCACTGGTTCGATGGCGGCGAAGTTGAGGGTTTCGCGGGCGGTTGGCCCCGTAGGGGCTTGAGGGCTTGGGAGGGTGAGGAGTTTGGATGTGAAGTTTGATGGCAAGGAGAGTCGGGACTTGATGGGGTGGGAGTTGAGGAGGAGGCCTAGTACTATGAGTAAGAGGCATGGGAGCAGCGGAGACGCTGTGTGGTCTGTGAAGAATGCTTCGATCATCTTGCTCTAGCACGGTGTGGTTTAGGGTAGGTATGAATCTCTCAATAAGTAGCAAGACCAGAGGAAAAGGAAATGGAAGGTTGGAGTCAGAAACCTCTGCCATCATTAAACCTTTCAAGTAATATACTGTGCTCTCAGGCTTTAAGGTACCACCTGATTCACGGATACACCAGTCTGCACATACACTGGCATATAGAGATCGGCCATTCAGGGCACCTAGCCCTATCTGTCTCCAGACCTTCCCGTCGAGCGAGACGCGCGAGACGCTCATAGCTCAATAAAAGTACATTCAGAATCCCACTGGCCTAGATTCCAATTGCCATCAACTCATCAGGATCCTACTAGCGGGATACGTCTCGTTACGCCAGGGCTGCCTTGAATCACACCAAGCAGGCGTGAACAGATTCACATGTCGTGATGAAGATTAACTAGTCAACATATGGATGGGCTGAAGTCCTCTCTACGTCATACTTGAACTGTAGGGTGTCCAGTTTTCCACGGTGAATGTATCTAGCTCGTTCTCGATGATAACCGTTGGCCCCAGAGTGCTTATAAAAGGAGATAAAGCCAGCTAGGCACGGGGCACCATTGCTCCCAGTGCTAAGAAGTAGAGGGCTGTATCCTGCTGGACTAGACGTGGTGTAATACAGGGAGCACCTAGGGGTGTACCGCCGTGACTGGTAAATAACCTTCCTCAGCTGCCATACAGCACCATGCTGTTAGACGTCTAATCACATTACTGCAAATCGCACTTTCTGGTTGTTTGTGTTTGAGACGCGGTGAGCATCGTACGATTATTCAATGGGCTATTATACCGGTCTGCTGCCCGGATGCTAGGTACTGTAGTGATCTCGGTTCTCACACGATGACGGATCTCTTGCCTCTTGGGCCTGTCTCGCCACATACGCTGGATCACTTGGTGGACAGATGTGACCTCAATATAATCCGGGAAGACAGCTTGGATGTTCGCTTGGTCTGCCCTGCCTGAACAGACAACCCCTCCCTTATCCAGCCAAACAGGTGGCAGTTCCAAGATCAAGCTGCTATCTCGCCGTTTGGGCACAAAGCAGAGGGGCGAGATTGAAAATGTATTTCAGTATTACTACTATGATGGATAAGGCAGGGTGTTGATCTGACCTCATGAACGCCCCAAAGCCATGCTGCAACTAAATCAGGGTTGCTCATTCCTGCCAGTGCATTCACCCCGCGTCGACGGGGTATCTTATCATCTTCGCGACATGGAAGGCTTATCTCTGAGACTTGAGGGGAAACCCTGGGTGAAGATATGGGATACCTGCGGCTATAAAGGCAGGCATTGACACACAATACCATGCACACTCGCTGGTCCCCATCACTTTCTACTCTGTATGCTCTTCCAGTCCATCTTACACACGATGCACACCACCTCGTCGGACAAGAAGCCTCCTGACCACAAGGCCGCGACGCCAGACTCCAACAGCGAGGATGTGCAGCAGGGCCAGATAGTTCCGATTCAACCTGCCCTCGGCGATGGCCCCATGCCGCAGTCGTTCTCTACCCTCTCTTCTCTCGGCCTTGCTTTCAGCATCACCGGGTCCTGGGTCGGATACCTCAGCTGTTTCGGCCAGAACCTGCAGTACGCCGGGCCCCAGAATGTTGTATTTGGACTGGTCGTCGCGACCTTTGTCCAGTGGGTCATTACATTAGGGCTGGCGGAGATTGCGTCTGCGTTTCCTACTAGTGGAGTGAGTCTCTCAAGATCCTTGAGGGTGGTGGCACTAACTCCGCTGGAACAGGGCCAGTACCACGCCGTCTACCTGCTGGCCACCGACCGGTACCGACGACCTCTCTCCTACCTCTGCGGCTGGTTCGCCATGCTGGGATGGTGGATCATCACCTGTTCGGGGCTGGTGCTTGCCTCGACTTCCATCCTCGGTCTTGTGGCGTTTTGCTTCGACGGCTTTGTGATGACGGCTTGGAGGACGTATCTTGTCTATCTGCTCGTGATGGCTGTGACTGGTAAGCATGCTTTTTAAATCCCAGTCTACCATAACCACAAGTGGGTGCTGATAAAGCCGTCACCACAGCAAGCCCCATTTTTATCCGAAGCAGAATGGTCCCCTGGGTCACGCAGATGTGCCTGTATGTCTCCGTCGCCGGCTTTCTGACGAGCCTTGTGCTTGTCCTCGCAAAGCACCAGCATTTTCAACCGGGCTCGTATCTCGTCGACCCCCCAAGCGGCTCAAGCGGATGGCCTACAGCGTTTGCTTGGATCCTGGGTGCTGGGAACTCGATGTATGCTCCGTCCTCTTGGTCTCGTACTATGTGAGAATGCAGTGTTGAATGCTCACCCCCAGGTACGCATACGTCGGGACCGACGCGGCCACCCACATCGCAGAGGAAATGCCCCAACCCGGTCGGCGTATTCCCCAGATCATGTGTGTCTCTCTTTCCCTGTACAAAGTGCCGAGTGCAGACCTGACTCCCTCGTAGGAACCTGACAATGCTCATCGGTGTCCTCTCTGCCCTTCCGCTTTTTGTCGCTATGATGTATACAATGACCGATGCTGAGCGCGTCGCCACGGCTCCGCTCCCAGCATTGGAGGCATTCTATCAAGCAACAGGTAGCAGAGCCGTCGCCATTGTGATCCAGGTCTGGGTGACCACTGTCTATGTTGGTGAGGACTCAACGACTTTCCCTGCCTGAAAAGCGTTACCCCTCTGACACGGATTCCAGCGAGCATAACATCCCAGTGGGTGACGTCTGGACGGATGGCTTGGGCCTTTGCTCGCGATGTATGCAGCCCTTCCTTGCATGCTCCTCTTGGATTCGATCTTCTCAATGGAAGAGCTGACACTCATCCCAGAACGGCCTTCCCTTCTCCAGCACTTTCGCAAAAGTCAACGCGCGCACAGAGTCCCCCCTCAACGCGACCTGTCTCTCACTTGCCTTTGCAACCGTGTACGGACTGCTCTATCTCGCCTCGACGAATGCCTTTAACTCGATTACCACATCGGCGGTCCTCTACCTGGTGAGTTGCCCCATTTCCCCGGTCATACACACCCTTTCTTTCAAGCTAACTTGGCTGGCATAGAACATCAGCTATGTCATCCCACAAGCAATCCTCCTCGCTCGCGGTCGGTCAATCCTACCGAAATCTCGGTATCTCAATCTGGGATCTCTGCTCGGTACTTTCTGCAATGCTTTTGCAGTCGTTGCCGTGTCGCTTCTCGTTGTCTTGTACAGCTTCCCCACAACACTCCCGACGACCGTGGCCTCCATGAACTATTCCAGCGTGGTGCTAGTGGGGTTGGTCTTGGTGATTGTTGGCGTATGGAAGGTGATTGGCCATGACTTTCATGGCCCGAATGTGGACTTGGAGGGGTTGCGCCTTTTGCTGTAGGGAGTATGGCTTATGACGTCTGGGAAGATGGTGATTAGTATGGTACTTTGTTATCGACGGGTTATCTTGACCACTTGCCTCCAAAGGATCTAGTCTAGCCCTGATAAGCCGCGATCTAGTACATTCGACAAGATCTTTTCTAATCTTACTGTACCGTGCGGGGTTGTTCTGACCATGTTGTCCTCCATTGTGCCTCCCTCCCGAGCTCTCCTTCCACCAACAAATCACCAATCTCACCTACATAGGATGCTCTCCTACAACCACACTCTTCCTCCCCCAGCCAACCGCGGTCTCCGCAGCAAGACCGGCTGCCTTACGTGCCGCCGGCGGAGAAAGAAATGTGACGAGCACAAGCCCCGCTGCTACAATTGCGAGAGGAATAACCTCGTCTGTGACGGATATCAGAGCCTTCAGACATGGGCCCCTCGCAATAATCAGCGCCCGCGCCGGTCTCATAGCCCATCGCGTTCCTCTACAGAAGCAGACTGTGCCTCGGACGGTCGCACTTCATCACCCCCGCGCCTCTCCATCGAAAACTCCAGCCCAGATGGCACTGCGAGGGAAATTGCCCCAACTGCGTCATTGCCTCCCCTCATCCCCGGAGTACAGACGCCCGTGGAACGTCGCCTATTTCACCACTTTGCTACGGCTCTAGCCCCGGCATTGGCCCTTCACTCTTCTTCTCATCCCAATGCGATCGCAAAAGCCATCCTTCCACTCGCCGTTATAGACCCGGGCGTGCTAGACTTGGTTCTCAGTGCTGCTGGCTCACATCTCCTGCGCCGCTTAGAGGCAGAATCATGCATTCGTGAACGTGATATTCACAGAGAAATCGCGCGGACAGCCTGGCAGCGATTTGGTGAAGGCACGCGTTACCATTGCGACAGTATCAAGGTGCTGAGCGGGCATGCTCGGAAACCTGGAGATTCTGCATCCCGAGCGCAGATTGTGACGGCCCTTGCGCGGACTATGTTGCTATGCCAGCAGAGTACATGCTCGGGCGGGTTTGACGTTAGCTGGAAGGTACATCTGATCGCTGCGCGCGAGCTCGCGGGTGCACTACACGGAGTCAGCCCGGACTGGGACGAATGTAACGACCATCGGGCCTTGATGGACTGGATCCAGTACCACGAGCTTCTGGCGCGGGTGACGGATCGCAGCCTGGAAGGTGCCACCGGGAACAACCATATTGGCACGGTGCTGCATGGCACGCGGCGGAGGAACGATCGTCAAATCCTTATTGGCACGCAGGACGGACTGTTCGAAATCCTCAAGCAGATCCTCGACCTCCGTAGTAGCACACGATATGAAGTCGACGGCCCTTCTCTGACAACGCTGCAGATCGGCCTCACAATCAGCACAGATCTGGAAGCGTGGTCGTATCCGTACTCAGCCGAACAGCAGCGCGTCGTCGGCGAATGCTACCGCTGGGCATGTTTTATTCTCCTTCACGCAACGGTATACGGGTCCTGCGCCGAAGACGAAACGATCCAGACAGCGCTAGCAGGTGGGCTTGCGTTCCTCGACCGTCTCGACGGGACATCGAATGCACAGACCTGCGCTTTATACCCGATGTTCGTGTTTGGGTTGTCTGCGGTGACTGAGGAGGACCGGGACAGGGTAAGGCAAAAGTTGGAACAATATCATAGATGGGCGGGATTTGGGAATATCCAAGACACGGTCGAGTTGATGGAAGAGTGGTGGCAGCATTGCCGCAGGGAAGGAACAGGCGCACCGTGGTGGGCGTGGCAGGCGTGGGCGGCGGCGAGGGGGGTTGAGCCGATGATTGCTTAGATGTTTTCATGTTCAGGTGTATGTACCGATAAGAGCATCGTATGATTGAAATGGAAGAGATAGTCCAATGGACAAGAGACGGAGGTGGGGGTGTCTGGTAGCTCAGGAGAAAGAGAGAGATGGAGTCGTCGCCCCGGCGTCTCGCGCGTCTCGCCCGATCCTTCTCCATTCGTCATTCCCTCCATCGGCATTACACCTCTCACCTTTCATAACACTCCAGCCTCCTATATCTATCCAACATGGGCCCCAGGCTACAAGGTCGGTCATCGCTAGACATTCCAAGCGCCTCTTCACAATGCACCCGCTCAACGACCTAACACCCGCCGAAATCAACGCCGCTCGAGGCCTGGTGCAGTCGCTTCATGGCTCCGAGACGCTCATCTTCAAAGCCATTACTCTTGATGAGCCTCGCAAGCAGGAGATGGTGGCGTACCTGGTGGCCGAGATGAACGGACAGCGTGCGGTCGCCCCGCCCCGTCTTGCCTACTGCGTCTACTACCTCAAGTCCAGTGTAAGCCATCGCACCGACTCCACGCACATACGGCCATAGATCACCTAACCCTGTACCAATGCCACATATAGGACACCCTCATGACAACATGGATCAACCTCACAACCCACGCAATCGCCCGCTCCGAGCCGGCCGACCCAACCTTCCACGGCAATGTCGATTTTGACGAAGTCCAGCAGGTCGAGGACATGGTGATGCAGGATCCCACCGTCCTCGCCGAGATCGCCAAACTGCAACTCCCCGATCATCTGACCGTCGTCGCCGAGGCCTGGGGGTTCGGTTCTGACGGGGGAATCGACGATAGGCACCGCCAGTACCAGGTTTACATGTTCGTGTCAGAGACCAACAACCTAGACAGCAACCACTACGCGCGACCTCTGAATTTCTCGCCCGTTGTGGATCCCGTGCGTATGGTCGTCACTCGGATCGAGATGCTGCCCACCGGCGTCGATGATGCACGTGCTGAGGGCGTAACACCGTACAAGGACTTAGGTCCGAATGAATACATCCCCGAGGCGCAGACACTGCGTGAGGACCTCAAGCCTCTGACTGTGGCCCAGCCAGAAGGCGCATCTTTCACCATTGACGGGGACAACGTCCTCCGCTGGCAAAAGTGGCATTTCCGGATTGGCTTCAACTACCGCGAGGGCATTGTGCTGCGCGACGTCCGCTACGATAACCAGCCGCTGTTCTACAGGATGAGTCTGAGTGAGATGACGGTGCCGTATGCGGATCCTCGGTCTCCGTACTTCCGCAAGCAGGCGTTTGATCTAGGCGATGTGGGCGCGGGACTCGTTGCTAATGATCTCCGCCTTGGATGCGACTGTCTCGGAGCGATCGCGTATCTGGATGGTTGGATTAGTGATCGGAAGGGAAGACCGCTGAAGAAAGACAACGCAGTCTGCATCCATGAACAGGATAACGGCATTGGCTGGAAGCATACAAACTACCGGACTGGGCGTGAGTTCTCCTTCCTAGTCCAGAGTAGCCAGACATGGCCAACCGGCTGATCATATCTTACATAGGTGCATGCGTCGTCCGCAACCGCGAGCTCGTCATCCAAAGCATCCTAACCGTCTCCAACTACGAGTACATCCTCGCCTTCAAATTCAACCAAGCCGGTCAAATCGACTACGAGGTGCGGGCGACAGGCATCCTCTCGACATGCGCCATCGACGAGAACCAGACCGTTCCCTTCGGCACAATCGTCCATCCCGGCGTCCTTGCAACCCACCACCAGCACATCCTCAGTCTCCGTCTCGACCCAGCCCTCGGCTCCTACACATCCGGCAACCAACTCGCCTACACGGAGACGACCCCGATCCCGCACGACGCCGCGCACGGAAATCCACACGGGAACGGATACGTCTCGGGCACAACGACCGTCCCCGTCTCAGGCGGTTTGGACCTCAACACGGAACGCGGCCGCATCTTCTCCATTCAGAACCCCAGTATCCGGAACCCCGTCAATGGCCTGCCGGCCTCGTATAAGATCCACTCGCCCCCGCTGCAGAAGATGCTTGCGGCCCCTGACAGCATCCATTTCCGCAGAGCGGAGTTCGCAGACCATGAGATCTACGTCACGAAGTATAACGAGGATGAGCTGTTCTCCGGCGGGAAGTTTACGAATCAGAGTATGTCTCTCCGGTTCTCGGGCTTGAGGTTGTAATGCACGCATGCTAACTGGGATACTCATGGCTAGGCCAAGGCGGCACAGGCATCAAGACCTGGGTCGCGCGGCAGGACCGCGTCGAGGACGAGGATATCGTCGTCTGGGTGCAGTTCGGGATCAACCATGTCCCCCGGATCGAGGATTTCCCTGTGATGTATGTGTACCCGTCTCGATATGGACTCTATGCATCTGGTTAGGGCAGGAACTAACAACGCGATTACTTACGTAGGCCCGTTGAGATCCTTACTGTCTCGCTGAAACCGGTCAACTTCTTCACGCGGAACCCCGCGATCGATGTGCCGCCGTCCACGCAGGAACGGAATTGTTCGGTGAGGGTTGAGGTTGGGAAGGAGGTTTCTGGGGGTGCTCATGGTGCTGCGGCGTGTTGTGAGAGAAAGAGCCTGTTGTAGGTATGGGAGGCTACCTAGTCTTTTTATGATCCGCTTATGGGCAGCTGTGCTGCTTTGGAAGAGCATACTAAGGTGCCCAGAGGTGTTGAAGACTTCCAATCCCGGCGGGTAGCCCTTGCAACATTAAGGAATATATTGTTGATTTTGCTCATGATGTGATGATGTATGCATTGAGGCTGCGGTAATTTCCTGCGAAATACAGTGTCCCAGTCTGCTTCGGATGAATGACAATGTTCGTTGCCGTTCATTGTCGGATTGCACGGTCTAGACAGGGTGGGTAGGCATATACATCCACAGACCTGAGGACGAGGCCAGGCCAACCCCAACAGTATGGCAGGACTGGAGTGCACAGACATACACAACCCGGCCATGGATTTACAAAGAAGGGTGTTCGGGAGGGGTATACTATGGTAACCTGATATCATATCATATGTCACCTTGACGATTAGCACGCCAGTATGTAGGTATGTGTGCAACATGCAACATGCAACTTTTCCACGATCGCTAAAGCCCACATCCATATAAACCCAGGCCCACCCTTAAATCAACCCACCTACTCATCATCCTCCTCCTCATCCCCAACAGGCTCATGCTTAACAAGCCTCTCATCATCATCCGCAACAAGAATATCATCAAACGCGGCCGCGCGATTCTTCAGCCTCGTCGCCGCCATATCCTCCCCCGGTTCATCATTCACACTCTGATCCATCTGGATCGTCCTGAGCGCAAACTGCACAGACACCGCTGAATCCCAGATGCCCTCGCGCCGATTACATATAGAGAGCAGATACAGCGCCTTCTGACGCACACACGGGTCTCGCGATCGCGTGGCTGTCAGTGTTAGCGGCGGCACGATACCCAGGGAAAACGTGAATGTGCGCCGTCGCGACGGGTTCGCGGCGGCACACCGCGAGAGGTAGAATTCGGCGATGGAGACGATCCGCGCGAAGTTGTCGTTGTGCGGGCCCCATGCGTCCGCGGGGTCCCAGGTGTTGCTTGTGAGGAGCATTGGGGAGAGCAGGAACCAGATGCGGAGGATGTCGGGGTCTTGGCCGTAGTCGAGGGGTTCGGGGGGTGGGCGGGTGAGATGCGGATGGACATATGGTTGTGATTGTGGTGGGGATTGAGAGTGGTGACTCGCATGTTGATGTGCCTGTGACTGTGCCTGTTCGCCCGGCGAGATCGCCAGCCTCATAAACGTACTATGCAGGCGCCTCATACTCTCCCGCACGTCATTCTGCGGCGTCGGAATCGACGGGCTCGGCGCCTCGCCCTTTGCCAGCGCGCGCGCCGAATCAAGCATGCCATGCAGGATATGGTTCCACAGCGCGTTCAGCGCATCGTGGACGTCGTCTTCGGGCGTGGGATCCCGCGCGACTACATCCAGGCTATCGCTCAGATCGGAGATGGACAGACTACTCCCGCGCATCTCGATGAGCTGGTTATCGAGGCGCGTGAAGAGCGAGCGCATCGTGCGCCGCGGTATAATCGAGCCTGTGCGCGGGTCCCGCTCGTATTCCCGTAGGAGATTCAACCCAGAGCGCATGTGGATGATGGCCGCCTGCGTCGAGCCACGCAGGCACTCGAAGCACGCGAAGAAGATGCACGATATTAGAATCAGGTCTGGCTCTGCGCTGGCATGTCGCGCTCGCCCTCTTGGAGGTCGGTTGGAGGTGGAGGTCGAGACTAGATTCACGCGCTCCTGCAGTAACCGCAGCGCCTTGCCGTACTGCTGCATCGCGAACGTCGCCATGGGACTCCACCCGCCTATTGCGCTCGCATCGTCATACTCGAAGCACTGCTGCATTGCGCCGAGGGCGATAACCGCGTGGGCGAGGACATCCTCGCGATGCGCGGCCTGGAGAACAGGTTGGGAGAAGTGGATCGGGAAGCGCGTGCGCATCTGCGCGAGAAAGAAATCGAGACTGTGCTTCTCGGCGCCGGTTGTAGCAAACGTTGCGCGCGGTGTGTAGACTACGATTCGCAGATTCGATTTTCCGTCGGGGGTGTTGGCGTAGGCGCAGTGGCGCTTGGAGCGCGTGCAGTTGCGGCAGATTGGTTTGCCTTCGTCGCATTTTATTCGGCGCGACCTGGTGATGTTTTAATAATGACGAGGGAGGGGAGCTGGCAAGGCAGGGGAGAGGATAAGATAAGCAGAGCAGGGGGGAACGTCACGTACTTGCAGGTGATGCAGCCGGTGCGTACTTTTGTTGAGCCGATGCGGATGCTTTTCGGCTTGTCCATGGCGAGAGATTAATCAAGCCCGATGAATGGTCACATTGGAGGGAAGTGCAGTGGCAGGATGGCTAGGCTACCGTTGTGGTGGGAGAGGCCAGCTGGGACGAGGAAGGGAAGAGGGGAACGCCGAACGGCAGAAGATCGCAGAAGCGCCAAGCGTGGCTTAGCGCCGCCCCGAAGGATGCCGATCACTGCCTGCCGATTGGTCACAGCTATGTACAGGATATATTACTATGTTGATACTTTATGGACATGACGGCGAGAACCCAAACCCGCTCGACTCGTCCTTCCCATGCAGGTCGTCCTCCTTGCCCACACTGAGCGTCTCGTACTTGCGCAGCATGTCGTTGATCCCCGACGCCGCGTGCGTCTGCCACCCGCCGTCGAGACTGCCGATATACTCCCCATTATCCGCCAGCTTCTGCAGCCCCTCGGCGTAGTGGTTCCATCGATCGGGTATCTCAGGCGAAGTGTTCTTGAAAAATAATTCGTCGAGTTCTGTCGGTACAGCCACCGAGCTTTCCCATTTCCCGCACTGCAGTCGGAATTTCACAGAGTGCCGGAAGATGTGAAACAGGTGCATGCCCACTTGGGATCGGGAGGCAATGATGGAAAAGGCACTAGTGAGTGAAAGGAAGTCGTGGTCGAGGACGTTGAAGGACTTTTGCTCCAGAAAGGCAAAGAGGGCGAGCAGGATGGCGTACATGGCGAACTGGTGGGCGCGTTCCATACCATACTCCTCCTTATGCAGTCGGGTGATGACGGCAATCTCTCTAGCAGAAGCGAGAGCTATTTTCAAAGCGTCGGAGTCGGCAATTCTAGTCGATGGTTCTTGTTCAATTGGCTGGCCGGTAATGGCGTTGAATGGCGGCTTGCCTTCGAACCAGTCGCAATATAAATTAATTAGCAAGGCATGATACCGCATCCTGTACCATCCATTAGCGCTCGGCAAGATAAATCGTCAGCGGGACCAACCTTAGCAGCAAAATATGCGGCGCTGGCTTCTCATCCAGCGAGAAAGTCGCCGGCAAGTTTTCCTCCCAGTGCCTCAATTTGCCGTATAGCGCTTGCTTGTGTTCAGATGTGTTGGCCGCCGAATTGGTGGCTTTGGGACTGAGGGTTCGGGACATATCTCGCGCAATATATGACAGCATGCATGCTTCATCAAAAGTCTGGCTCAGCCAGGATGGTCGATCGGGTTTGTTCAAAGGGTACGCTGCCCATGTATCCCAGGGCTTCGACGAGTCACGATCAATCCGAGAAATGCTCACATCATTGACCGAACTCTTGCGGAGAAAGTTTGTATGCACAATCGTGTCAATCTGAAACAGACCCCACGCCGTTCGCTGGACTGATCTTATCATCTCTTCCGACATGTGCGAATTGTTCAAGCGGAGCTCCGGGCTGTTGATTATCCCAAGCGCCTCTGCCATTTCCAACGCCTGGTTGAGCATTATATAGCCGTTGTCGTCGTCCCCTACCATTGAATACCTACCAGAACCATCAGTCACGGGACAGACAAACCTACATCAGCCGAGGCAGGCGCACCTTTCATATAGCAGCAGCGTAGCCTGCAGAGACGCGAGTCGGACTATGGATCCTTTCTCGAAACGATTTTTTCGAAGATGCATTTCTGCCTCCGCCAGAAAATCTGTACCCTTGGTCTTGACGTCTCCGGGTATCGTATAAGCTTCTGAGTAATGAGAATAATGCTGTCAAGGTGTTAGTGGCAGCCACTACCTGGTGCAATAGGGACGTACACAAGCATTCGCAAGGAGCGCATTCACAAGAAACGGACTGCAAAAATCACTCTGCAACTGCCCCTCGGACATGTACTTGATCAGAATCTCCGGATCTACAAATGCATAGAACGGATAGTCCCACGTGAAATATAGCGAGACTAAATGCGAAACCAGCGCATCATCGTCTGTAACACTCGTCCACGGCTTCGCGGGCACCTTGACTGGCGCAGAATCGCACAAGTAGTGAACATCCATAACCATGGACCGAAACGGCGGCGCACCGCTCTCAACCTCATATCCGACGCGTAATCTTGCGCCTCTAAGTTCCGCGCTGGACGCCTGATTTGGCGTTGGTACGCCTGTCGATATCTGGTCTATCAAGCATCGTACCTCGGGAAATGTGGCGCCATTGCGTATTAAATCTAATAAAGGCCGTGACCCTTCATCATCGGTGGATTGAATAAGTCGAAAGATATCGTCCAGCAGTTTCTCATGGTAGTCGGCTTCGCCTGAGGCTCCGTCAGGTTGGGGCCCATGCTCGGCGAGGCGCTGTCGACAGTTGCGGCATGGGGCAGTCCCGGTGCAGCGTTGGCCGTACTGGTGGTATGTGATGCAGGCACTTTGGTCTAGGTCGCCAGTTTCGAACATTCTGCAATGCTATCGCGTAACGGGGCCGATCATGGGGATTAGTGTAGTCTAAGAACGGGTTGATATGGAGGGGTCGGGCTCATCAGAGGTCGAGACGCAGTGACATCAGCCTCGTTTGTTCCTGTCACGTGGTGACGCTTGTATGACGCAGGGCGAGTCCCGGTGGGTTACGGCTTAACGTCCCACGAACAGGAGGCCGAGAATTGTCGATGTTTCCTAATTCGCCTTTAGGGTTGGTAGCTTAATGTGCTTTGAATCACTAGCCCAAATATACCCGACGCCGTCGAGTGCTTCGGCACTTTATACCGACTGGGCACGTGATGGTGTCGTAAGATGTCATCTGCCCACTCGCAAGTTTTTTTCACGGAGAAACGGACTTTCTCTAAACGGTCACTGCCTTGATACATCTTTATCGGCAATGATGTGGCGAGTATTTGGCGACGGTCGCATATCTGCGCTGTTTCAGGCGAAGAGCTGCATATATCAGATTAACTCCTTCCCAACGCCAGGCGAGGCGTAGAAAGAAACAACTCGAAAGCTTACCAGCCGAAATTGATGATCTGAGGAGCAGGATGCATCAGCGACGGGATTATACTGCCAATCCTCGCCACCGACGCCACCTCCAATTCCAGATACACCTGTCTAGGGACAGGCTAACAAACAAGGCCTGGCAAGGCCTGGCAAGGCCAGGTAGAGGCCAGAATGTATGCGGAAATTTGTCATCTGCGCCCGCATCGAAGAGCGATCAGACAATTTCGAGATGCCTCACTCCATTGCTGACTGCACGACCCTTCCACAGCAGAACATGCTGGGATCGCTACGTGTTCGGTTCCATACTCATTATCTCGCAAAGGTCGTTTGCGGCCAGCTACCTGGGTAAGACGTAGTAAGACACATTCGGATTTGCGCCATGTATCAGTAGCAACTTCACCAAACCAAAGGTTTCAAGTCGAACCGCTCAGACCAAGGGCGGGGGAAGTGGGGATCGCACAGGCGGTTATCCTGGGATGAAGAAGCAGTTGTCGTACTATGCGAGCAAGAGCCCGGTCTGCTTGTTCATCTTCCTCGTTGCTCGCCCGGCCAATGGGCACCCATAACGGCCGCGATAAGTGGCTGGTTCCGTTCATTCTCATCACGGATAGAAGGAGCATTGAAGGACTTCCATCGGCCAACGGATATGATCCCGATGAGAAGAGTCCAAATTATAGAAAATGCCACCGATAATATGTTCCGGCCAGTCGCGCAGGAACCAAGTTGAGTCAAGCTCTTTGAGAAGGACAAGGAAGAATGAAAACAGGACTAGCGCCACGGGTTCCCGGTGTTGCAGTGCGGTGAGAAACGAGTTGGGCAAGGTATAAAGCCAGCCAAAGATATATGGCCATAGCTGTGACTCTTCCACGCTGGAATCGAACCCATAGAGGGAGTGGAAAATATGCTGCAAGCGGTGGAATACTTGGTGATAGCCCTGGACATCATGATCAAGACCTAACGTGCTGAGCAAGTTACCGAGATGTGGCAATTCGCTATCGTATCGTCTGGCGACTTCAGCGCTTCTTCGCCAGCTCCTGTGGGGTTCGCTGGCCCCTTGCGAGGGGGGATCTTTGCTCTCTGCCGGATGCATCACGGAGGCGTCAATTGACAGGTTCCCAGAGCAAGTCTCCAGCACTGTCCTAATGCCCATGAACAGAGCTAGAGATCCTGGTTGACCGTCACTGCGGAACGCCAAATACTCTCCCTGTTGTGGGCCCCTGGCAACGGAAGTGAGAAAGATGAGGAGGGTAGCAGCGTAGAGTGCAAGGCCGTTTTCTTTTCCAAGATGTGGTATCTGCTCAGCGACCGCACCGACACCTATCGAGTAGTGGCGTTCTCCTTCAGCAAGATAGTCGCGGCTCTGCCCTAGGATCTGGTGCAGCGGATCGTCGCCTTGGTGCCGGGCTAAATGGAAGTTGGAAAATGCGAGGAGTAGGTGCAAAAGGTAGTGGAAGGAGAATCCGAGCCGGGTATATTGGCTGATTGCCATTTGGTTTGATCCACCCAGGTCTTTTGAAGACATAAGATGATGGAATACGGCCATGTCCGCGGCCGAGAAGTCAAAGGGCTTATTGGCTACAGCAGTGCTCGTCTGTGAGACAGGTGGCTCCAAGTCCTCTGCGGGTGGGACAGTACGCCTGGCATGCCTTCTCTTAGGAGGCCTGAAGTCTGCCTGGCTGGAGGAGATAAAGGTGAGAGAATCATCTCTCTGTTGTTCAGGTGTAGAATCGTATGGGCTCGAGAGCTCGCGGCTGGAACTTCCATCCTCTGATGCGTAGTCGCATGATACAGAGTGACGCTGACAATTGCTGCACTCAGGCCTCTTCTCGTCACACTGAACTCCGATTCGTCAATATCGCTGCTTATCGGGCTGGTGTTGGGAATGTACCTTGACCCTGCGCCGCTTACAGTTTCCACAACCCAGACGCGACTTTCGATGGGACTTTCGCGATTTGTTCGCTGTATAAGAGTTGATAATTCCCGATGCCATTTTGCTCAGGACAAGAAATTTCGAATGCCCGTGCCTGCAGATGAGAAAGTGACACAGTCTAGGCTCGATTAGGCAGGAGCGGGCCCGGGGATTGGCAATTATCCGCTCCGGTGGTAAAAAAGGTCATGTGATCATTCACGGTTTGTTTTTTCTTCCTTCAGTTTCGGAGTTACGGATGCCTCAGGCAGGAATTGGTCATGTGAGATTGGGATAAGAATTAAGGAGTAAATAAAATATAAGATTTTTTAGGATTTAAAATAAATAAGAATATAAGAGTTTAATAGCTAAATATAAAAAAAATTTAAGCTATATTTATTTTTTTTTTATATTTTATTTTTTAATTAGGCCGTGAGATCTAGCTAAAGTTAAAGGTTAATTTTTTTTTTATTTTTAAAGGTTAATTAAAGTTATTTAACTAAGTTTACCACGGAAATTTAAAAAATTTCCACCTTTTATTTAATACACCCCCTAGCACTTAAAAAAATAAAAACACTAATATTAAATATTAAAAATAGCTTTAATTTTAATAAGGCTAAATTAATAAATAAATATTTTATGGCATGGGCTACTAAAAAGTTTAATAAGGTTATTTACTAGTTAATTTTTTATTTTTATTTAGTTAACTTTAATTTTTTTATTTTAATACTTCTTGTAAAGCTAGTAATAATAAATATTAATATATTAAAATTATATAGTAAATATAGGGTTATTTAAGTTAAGTAATTATATAATTTAGGTATTATTATAAAAAAGGTATAATTTAACCTCTAAATTAAACTTTATAATATTAAAAAGTTTTTTTTATTATATAAGGTTTTTTGCTTTTTTAATAATAGTAAGTAATTTAGCTTTAATAATAAAAATAGTAACTATTTTTTACTTACAAGTATTTTAATTAATTAAATTTTTAAATAGCTTTATAAGCTATTTATTAAAGCTGTGTTAATTAAAATTATTATTAAAAAAGGTATTAAATACTATAGTAATAATTTCTTTAGTATTAATTAAGTATTTAATTTTTAGGTTTTTTATAATAATAAAATATTAAATAGCATACTTAGCCACCTTAATATAAGTTTTAATAAATTATATTATATACTAAGCAAGCTTACTAGCTATTTTAAAGGTGTTAAGGCATGTTATTATAATAAAATAAAAAAATAAGCTAATAAGTTATTAATATAAAAAAATATTTTACTTTATAGGTGTATAATTTAAAGGCGCAGGCATTAATTTTTTAGTAAGTAAAAATATTTTTAATATTTTACTTAGTGCTATAAGGTTATATTTAACCTATAAATTATTAATATAAAAATCTTAAAGTAACTAGATTCTTTAATTATAATAATTATAAATAATTTTAATATTTAGGAACCACTTTGCTTTACTAAAATTTTATAATTTATATATATACTTTATATATTTAATAAAGTTAGTGGCCTTTTTTTAGCTTTAATTAATTTTTTGCTTATAATAAGTATATTATTAATAAAAAAATAACTATAAAATATTTTATAATAAAAAGGTAAGGCTTTTCTAGCACTAGCTTAAAGCTATATTTAAAAAATATTAAAAATATTTTTTTTACTAAATACATGGTAATTATTTAAAATTATATAAGGGTTAATTTAACTTAAATACTCTGCCTTTAACGCGCTAGGGGCCAGGTAGTATTTTAATATATACTTTTTTATTTATAAAGTTTTAAATAAAGGCGTTAATAATATTTAATTAAATAATATTAAGGTTAAAATAAGTAATAAGTATTATTATAAGTTAAAATAATTAGGTAGTAAGAGTTACTACTATAGTATTAATATAATTATTAAATTAGAAATCTTTTTTAATATAAAGGCGCGCTTTAAATTTATTTAAATAACTAGTGGTATTAAATTTATATTTAAATATTTATATAAGTAGTATAATAATCTTGCTTTTTAATATAAAAATAATTTTAAAGGTATAAAGTTTTTTAAAAGTACTAAATTTAATTTTAGCAGCTTTTATAAACTAGTTTTTATATAAATACTTTATAAGTTTTGCCTAGTTTTTTAATTTTTTTTAAAGTTAATTTTAATAAATAACTTTGCCTAGTGCCTTTTATAATAGTTTAAAAGGCTTAAAAATTATTAAGTAAAAAAAATATAATATTTAGTAAAGTTTTTTATTAGCTAGTAAAAAAGTTTAATATAAAAAACTTTAAAAAAGGCCTTTATTTTAGGTGGTTTTTATTTATAAAATTTTTTAAATCTTACTTTTAATACAGGCGGTTATATTAGGTCTTTTTATTTAATTTAACTTATATAGTTAAAAGTTTAGGATTAGGATCTTATTCCCCTTTTTTTATATTAGTTTTATGTAGTTTTAGGTTAGATTTAATAAAAAAAAGTAATATTAGCATTTTTTTTTATTATTATTTTTATTTATATTATTTTCTAGTTATGGAAGCCCTCCAGCACTATTATTTTTAAAGTTAAAAATTTTTTTATTTTTTTTACTTTTTACTACCTAGTTAGGTGTTATTAAAATAGTTTTATAGTTATTATAGGTTTAAAAGCTTTTATTAGCTATAGTACTTACTAAGCTTAGGCTAGTAGTAAAAATAAGTAAAATTATAAAATTTTTATTATTATATAATATTAAATTACTAGGTAAGTTAAAAATAGCTTTATTTTAAGTATTAATTTTAGTATAAAATTTATTATTTTTAACCTTTTTATTTTTACTTATTTTTATATTATTAGGCTTGGGAGTAGGCTTATTTTAATTATTAAATTTAAAAAAATTATTTTTAAAATTAATAAAAAATAGTATATTAACTAGTTTTTTTTTTTTTATTAATATATGCTAAAAGTGTGTATTTTAAACTAGCTATATAAATTAAATTATTTTTATTATAGGTTCTTGCCTTATTAAATACTATATTTTTTACTTAAATAACTAAATATTATATGGCTTTGGCGCGAGGGTTTTAAATTTTTTAAATATTATAAGCTTTTTTATATTTATAAAAAATATTTAATAGTTACTCTTGGCTTTATTTTATAAAAGTTAGGGATTTTTAGCTACTAGTAGGTAAGTAATTTAAATTTAAAAATATTAGCTATATTTACTAGGTAAGTATTACCTATTAGCGCTTAAAACTTTTAAAGTAATATAAATTATTTATTTTTTTTATTTTTTATAAGCATGTAATTTAGTATATAAATAAATACTTTTATAATTTTAAATATAAAATTTTAAAATATATTAATAGCTAATAAAAGTGCTTTAGCTTTTTATAAAATAATTTTTTTTAATTACTTGCTTGCGCTATTTTATTTAGGTGTATTAAAAATAATAGTTTTAAAGGCCAAACCCTATTATTTCTTAATAAATTTAAAGTTATTTAAAAGCTGTAATATCTTATTATTTATATAAAAAAATTAGATATAAAGGCTAAATTATTTAAAAGTATAAGTATTAAGTAATTAAATAACGCGCTGGTAATTATTTTTTTTAGTATATAGTATTATTTACCTTATTTAAATAGTATTATTTAAAAAATAAAAGGCATATTTTATATTATTTTAAAATACTTTAAAAATAAGAATATTAAAATAAATTCTTTTAAAGGGTTAGGTTACTTTAATTAATTTAATTTATAATATTTACTTAGGAAATTATAAGAGTTTACATGGCATGTAAAGTAGTTTTTTTTTTACTTTTTATTAAAAAGCTAAGGCGCTGGATTAATTTATATACTAGTTATAAATATTAAAAATTTAAATACTATATTAGTATTAAAATGGCCTATATACTTATACTAAATTTTTAAGCTTTTTAATAATATTTTTAAAGTTATAAAGTATTAAATTTTTATTTTTATTATAGTATAAAAGGCCTTAATCTTTTTATTATTATTAATATTAAATTTCTTATAGTAAAGTATGTATAATTTATAATATTATTTAAGTATATAAAAGTTTATTTTTTTTAAGTTTTTAAGAGTTTTTTTATAACTATTAAAATATAAATTTACTAATATAGCTTTATTAAGAAATATAATAATAATATAAAAGCCAGGAATATAGGTGTAATTTTTAAGCTTTAAAAGCCTTTTTAAGCTATTTAATCCCTTATAAAAAACACGGAGTATACTAAACTTTTTAATTTTATTAATAATATTATTAATAAAAATAATATTATTTTTAAAGGTGTTGCAAATATTAATTATTTTAGTAAGGTTATTAGTAACATGTATAAAAAATCTAAAATTAATAATAATACTTTTATATAGGCTATATTATAAGCTATTAAATAATAAATAAGTAATTATTATTATAACTTTCTCCGGGTTTTTAGAATTATTTTTTTAGCCTTAATTTTAAATATTATAATATTAAATCTAGATTTTTTAAAGGTGCTTAATACTTTTTTTTTAATAATTAAATCCTATATATTTTTCTTTACTTTTTACAAAGTTTTTTCTTAAGGCTCCTAATTTTTTAAAGCTTTTTTAGTATTAAGATACTAGTAAAAAGTAATAAAATATAGGTAGCTATATACTAGGCATGTTAACTTTAATTTATTATTTTTATTTTTATTATTTTTTTTGGATTTCTTATTATTTTTAGTGTTTTTATTTTTTTTATTTACTAAGTTATTTTTTTTAAGCGTGGTAAAGGTGCTATTTATTAGCTATTATTTAAATTTATTATATATAGTGTAAATAGCCCAAAGTATATAAAATACTTTAAACTTTTTAATAATATTAGTAAAGTTCTTTTTTTTTTAAAAAAAAAATAGCCATGTAAAGCTTTTAACTAAACTTTTTATTAATAATTATAATAGTGTATATAAAGTCTTAAAGCATGTTAATATTGTGGAGGGGCGGTACTAGAGCATGGGAGCTAAAGGAGCCAAATAGTGGCAGTAACCTAGGACTAGACAGCATATAGTATAAGTAAAAGTAATAATAAAAAAAAATATATATATATTAGGGTAAATAATAAACTAGG